CTGCCCCGTCTCCGGCATCTACTACTTCGCCTACCACGTGCACGTCAAAGGGACTAACGTCTGGGTGGCACTTTACAAGAACAACGTGCCCGCCACCTACACCTACGACGAGTACAAAAAGGGCTACCTGGACCAGGCCTCGGGCAGTGCCGTGCTTGAACTCAAGGAGAACGACCAAGTCTGGGTACAAATGCCCTCGGACCAGGCCAATGGGCTGTACTCCACGGAATACATCCACTCCTCCTTCTCCGGGTTCCTGCTCTCTAGCTGTATCTATAAGCCCTCAGGATCCTTTACCTCTTGAACTTTGTTTTGTTTTTTTTTTTTTTTTTTTGATAAAAAAGTTTTAAAAAATTAATACGAAAAAGAAAAATCACTGGGAAGAACACGCAAGCCGTTGCCATGGGACCTCGCTTCACGCTGTTTGATCCCCAAGTCAGGAGGGTAATCGGAAAGGAGACATCTTTCTTTCTTTCTTTCTTTCTCTTTTGGGGGAGGGCGGGGAGCAGCTCCCTCAGCAAAGTGTATTTGGAATCAATTTTACCCTAGTGACTGAACGTCAAACACAGGAACGCGCTTGGGATGGCAAGGACGTGGCTCTGCAGCAAACTGCTCTGTGATCCAGAGAGGGCTGCCTGCAAGACCAGCCCCTTCGGGTCTGTAACCAAGTGCCCTTGTTTCCCATTTTGAGCACCAGTTAAATAAACATGGCTGTTGTCACGGATGGTATATTTGCTAACCAGCATGGGGGTCCTAGGCACTCAACACAAACCTCCACGGCAGCGGAGATCCAGGATGGATTGAGAAATTCCCTTCCCAAACCATCAGACGCCAAGTTTCAGTCTCACTGATGCCTATTTTTCCAGACTCTGCTTTGAGGCAGAATCCCTGATTCACTATGGATTCAGTGCAGTTGGATTTATAATCACCAGAAGTGGAACACTTTGCATAAGCACCTTCTTATAAGGAGTAAATATTATTTTTCACCCTGCCTGCCCCCAGCACCTTTGGGAATAAAACCATCCAGGCATTTGTATCTGGGAGGGCAACAGACCTGTTCCAAAGCCGCTGAGGGAAGCTGGGGCCCTGTGGGGAACACGGAGCCTCTCTCGGGCTCGTTCATCTACTGGCAAGTCCAGGGGCCAGTTCTGTCCCGTTTCTCTGCAGCCCAGAGACTCGCCTGGCCTCGTGAGCAGCCTGCTCCCCGACAGCCCCAGGAGGGCACTGCCAGCCCGGCTCACAGTTCTGCTGTCTTGGAAGTGCCACTTAGGGACAACTTGCTTTTCCTGTCTCACTGTTTCGGGATGTGTAAACTTCTGCAATGGTATCCCCCCTCTCTCTGGGGACCTTTAATTAAGAAAAAATAGTGTTTGTTCTAACTTCCCATTCCATCATCTTCCAACGGTGCTATTACCTACTTAACGATGTTATCGACAAGTCTAGTGCAATATCTACCTGCCCAGGTGCACCACGCCAGTGCTGGGCTGTGACTTAGGGTTAAAAAAAAAAAAAAAGAAAAAAAAAATCACGTTTGTCTGTCATTACCACTTTGTCTCACTAATGCTTGAAACGTTACCGACCCGAGTATGAGCTACAAGGTTCTGGGAAAGGCACGCACGGGTAGTGACCACCCGGCTGCTCTGTCCTTTGCTCAAGGGAGCAACTGAACCCTGTGGCTTTGCAGATTTTGTCCTGGTAGAACAGTCATTGCCCCTTGCACTCACAGTGACACAATTCTGCTCACCCCAGTCCAGTAGCAGGCTGCTGAAGTCATCCATGCGCGATACACGTCCTGGCCCTCCGCAAAGGCACGTCCCTGAGAAAACAGCAACGATCTGGTCACCAGCTGAGCAACTCTTACCCTTACATTGTCCTAAAGCCTGTCCTATGGCCAAAGAAATGTAGCAAAAATGGGACTTGGGATCGTTCTCCAGATGAACTGTACAAGATATTTAAACAAATTTGCTTTTTCTATTGTTTGTTTGTTTTTCTCCTTAAGCCTATTCTGTGTTTCTGCCTTTTGCCACCCAGGGCTCCCTTTTAAAAACACACCTATCCCTGAAATTAAGGAACAGAAAAAGGCAGTTTCCAGTTGGAAGACCAGCACTTCAGCTGCACTGGGCTGGGCTGGCCCGGCCCCTCCCCGGGATCTCCTCCACGTGGAGCTGCAGGTTTCAAGCTGAAAGGCTGCCCCAGTGTCCCATCCCACTGGACATTCCGAACTCCCGAAGGCAGGCGGGCATCGAGGCCATTCGGGTTCTGATCCTAACAGGTTATTTCCCAGCAGGAGCCGTACAAAAAGAGTCCCTACAATGCAAAGTGGAAGCTCAGATGTTTCCTTCGAGCCCAGGCTTGGGAGGAGGGTGCTAGGATGGGGCCCTGGAGAACGGCAACGAGCTGGAGGCGGTGCCAGGCGAGGCCCCGGCGGGTCCGGCTCCCAGCGCGGGCTCTGCCTGCGGCAGG